CCAATTCGGGGTGCGACCAGAGTCACGGAACGAATTAAATTCGTAAACTGAGGTTCCACTGTACATGGAAATGCAGTGTTCTCTGGATTCAAAAGGCACATAACTGGAACCATTTTAAAGAGAAGCCTGCATAACATCATCTCAGTTGCGAATGATTATTTTCCTTGCTTTACAACAGTATCTCCAACCAGGGAATGCACTGGAATTACATCTGTGAGTTACACTGTGAGTTCTTGGTCAGCACATGTAGGGAGGGCCACTTTACCCTTTAGTTCAGAGCAAGAATAATGATGTTGGTTCTCTATATGTATAATGCTGAGTGCTGGAAGTTGCAAACGTAAGTGCACTTGCCTGTAAGTACAGGTAGTCCTCAGGTTATGACCATTCAAAGGTTCAGTGACCATTCAAAGTTACAACAATACTGAACGAGGGGGACTTATGACGGGTCCTCAGAGTTCCAGACATCACAGTGTCCCCACAGTCACATGATCACCATTTTCAACATTCCCTGCCAGCTTCTCACAAGCAGTCAATGGGGAAGCTGGCAGGAAGTTGGAAGTCACAATCATGTGAGGTCTTTGCTTAATGACCCACACAGTCCTCATTTAACGACAGCAACCGGGACTGCCAGAACTGTCATTGCTAAGTGATGTGGTCACATGAGGTTGTGCTTTAGGACCATGTTGCTTAATGATGGAGTTCCCAGTCCCAATTGCCATCATAACCTGAAGATTACTTGTAAAGAGGACTTACTTCTAAAACACTATCCTTTTCATTCATTAACCTGTTTAGGATATTAGAAAAGCTCAACCCTAACACTGTCTTGCTAATAAACCTGAGATACTTGGAATGCCCTTTGTGTCTTACTATATTTAACGATAACAACACAGCTCTGAATTCAGAAGAGCAAAGACCAGAGTCTATAGTGAATTGTCACTATGAATCCCTGAGAATAGTTTGGTCATAAGATACCATCTCCTTGGGAATACCTGTTTATTTGGCAAAGATTGGACTTGGTGAAAGCCCTGCTTATTTACTGGCAAAAGGAAACACGGACTGAAATGGAGAAAAGCATAAGAAAACAGTGAGCCAGTGAGCCAGTGAGCCAGTGAGTGCTGTGCTGTCTAAAATCAGGATGCTCACTTGATACAGCTGACAACAGGCCTGATTTTGGAGTCTGATATTTGCCACCAATATTCTTTGCGCTAAAAGGCAACTGGGATAATTTTCATAGTACCTCAGAAGCATGACATCTTTTCTGTTCTCTATATAGAAATCTATAGAACTTCCTAAGATTTGGCTCTGTGATTTAACTGATATATATTAGCAAAGGTTTTTATTAATATAATTTAAGTCATTTTGATATAGTTAAAATCAAGTATTTCTGGTATGGTCATTTGAATGGTAGTGTCTGCACCTTCTGCTGTGATTTTCAATTTGTTTTTCCAGATAATTTTGAGATTCCCCAGGATCCAATCGTAAAATTCCCTGAGAAATACTTTCTTTGGTCTTTCCCTGAAATGTGCAGGCTCAGTAGGATGGGCTGGAGAACCTTTCTTGAATCTGGTGCTCTCCAGATGTTTTGGACTGTATCACTTTCACCAGCACGGACATTGGCTGGGGAAGGTTGTTTGACATGAATCAAAAGGGCACTGTAGAATGTGTCCTACTGTATAAGGATTCTTTGGAAGTTTTCTCAATTTA